GCTCCTGTTTTCATGTTCCTGCCCCCGTTTTCTGTCCCTGATGGCTGTGAATACGTGTATTTATTTACAAATTAAGTCATGCTTATACCTTACTAATTTACGTTAAAATTGCATATAATTAAGTAATTGCTGTTGAAATCATTCAATTCTTTATTTTTTTTTTATATATATTTAGTCACGTTGTCTCATATTTCAAATAAATATGTTTGAATAAAATTTTGTTTTGTTTTTATTTATGATAAGAAAGAGTACAAAATACAGTTAAACTGAAATAGGGCCCGCCATTGAATAACCGGAAACGGAAATAAATACGACGCCATCATGTCAACCTGTCAATTGAAAAATTAGTTCTCCAGACGACAACGAAGGCTTTCGGTGGCGTATCGTGTTTCCAATGATTTAACACAGAGTTGACACTTCTTTCTAGTTAATTATTTTATGGAACAGACTATCGCAAGCTGTTGCTAGGATATTTTATTAATTTTAATTGTGTTTTTAGACATTGTGAATTATCGTAAACTAAAAAGTATAATTGAAACCACTAATTTATTCCTCTAATTGGGAGGTTCTGAATGAAGCTTTAGAATTCACTACTTTCATTTGAAAAAGCAAAACAGCCACAACTTACCAGGCGACTGGTCCTTCCACATGTACACGCCCCTCTGCGGCGAATTGGCCAGCTCCCTGATATTATCCACCGTGTTGTTCGACCGCGGATAGCTCAGCTGCTGCTCCTGCCTGACCAGCTCCCCTCCGACATGAACCGCCGCTGCGGACTGCCCCCGTGGTACTGCACGTGGTTCTGCCCCTTGAGAACCCGGCCCCTTCCCACGGGTCCCGCCTCCGCCGGCTGGAACTCGTAGTAGCTGCCGGCGGTGGGTTGGTTCGGGCGCATAGACCACGCCTATGAAGTCTGGCCTGCGCGGCTGCGTCGGCGTGCTCGGGTTGGACCTGCGAAATGCACAAGAAGCGACTACTACAGAGAGGCGCTCGAAAGGACTAGTACGAATCGGTTGGCCGTTCGTCGAAGAGGAAGTGTTATAAGCGAACCGTGGATTTTCGAGCGCCTCCGCTTTCTGTTTCTAGCGGGCGGTGGAGGAGGAGGAGGTGGCGGAGGAGAGGAAGGTTGAGGGCGGGATCGAGCGGTGGTGAGGCGGTCGTAGGTCAGGTCCACCTGTAAACGAGACAGAGTGAGAGGGGGCGTGCGCGTGGGTAGGCAGCGGCGCCGCCCACCTTAACCTGATGTTATGGGAGTGGTCGGTTGTTAGTGATGCGCGCGGCGATGGGCGTGAGTGGGTGAGGGAGTGAAGATGAGGTGTGCTGACGGGAGATTAGTCTTTTAGAACCCTCCGGTAAGGTGTTGATATTTAGTTAAAAATATTATACTGAAAGATTAGCCTAATAATTAACTAGAATCAAAATTAAATTAAGAACAAATAAAATAAATATGATGTTGAACATTTTATACACGAGTTTTTTTAAAAGATAAACTTGATTCATTACACTAACATTAACATAATAATAAAGTTAAAAATGGTAATAAATGGTCGTAAACACAGTGGTACGAACTGTATTCTGGAAAACTTTGGCAGTATATTCTGCAGCTAAAATAAGTAAAAAGTTCATATAAATGTATGTCCTAAAATGCGTAGTTTCGAGATACAGGGTGTAGAAGTTTCATTTTTAATTCGATTTGTTCCAAAAATTTCTGAACTAACGTTGATATTTGGATGAAAAATTGGTGTCTGGGAGTTTTTAACATGAGAAATTTGATTTTGATGTCAATATGACAACTACCTGTAGGGGAGCCACCTACTTATTTTTTAACTGGTTTGAAGAGAAATAACTTTTCGTACCTGTATAAAACTACTGAGTAAAAAATATACATTTATGACCTTTTCTACGTAAAGAAGGTCTCTTGGTAAGAATCGGTACAAGTAATGGTTCCCAAGATATTTGGAATTGAAATTACCAATACCTCCTATTACTGACATAAATTTCATTTATGAAACATGTTTTCTAAATAGTTATTAGACTGAAATGATAAACTTGAACTGATTTTGTGCCATAATTTCAACAGAGAAGTATTTTATCATAATTTTTCAAGAAAAAATATGTGATTAATTTAAAAAAAACTATTCGTCCAGAGGGATTCCTAGTAGCAAGCTATTTTGCAAGATCCAGCTATTCGGGTGGTGGGACTGCCATTTATGTTAAGGACTCTTTAGATGTAAGTAATTTTAATATAGTCAACTATTTTAGTATTGAAAATGTATTGAATGTTGCGCAGTATTTTTAGAAGATTTTAAAGTGTTTGTTTTGTCGATATATAGGTGCCCTCGGGTTGTTTTGTTACTTTTTAAATGTTCTGCAGAATATTTTAGGCAGGTTAGGGATTAACAGGAATATTGTTTTAGCGGGCGATTTTAATGTCCATTTTAATACAGGGCAGACAGAGGCTGTACAATTGTGTGATGTTCTTGAGAGCCACGGCTTTGTGCAGACAATTACCGCCCCAACAAGACAACAAGCATGTCTGGATAACATTTTTATTAATTTCTGTAAGGATTCTTTCTTATCGGACGTTGTTGATCTAAGTGTATCTGATCACCTGGGGCAGGAGCTCGAGCTTCTCTTGATGCGTTCTCAGGATCGTCTCTCTTGCGGAGAGAAAGGTGTAGGCCATTAACACAGAGGGGAATGTTAAGATTCTTTTAATTTGGTTGAAGCAAGTGACTGGGACTTTGTAAGTGGTGATTTAGACATTAACACCAAATTTTCACGAGTTCTGAAATTACTGGAGGGGGCTTATTATGAGTCGTTCCCTGAGAAAATCTATGTTGTCAGGTCTGACCAGGGTCTTAATATCAGCTGGTTTGATGATCACTTAAGGGCCATGCGTAGTCATCTACAACTACTTGGTGAATTGAGTAGACAGCATGATCATGCACGGATAAAACTGGAATACAAAAACTATAAATTACAATATAAAACGCCATTAAGGAAGCCAAAGTTAGATCATGTGATCGCATTATTGTCGGATCTAGTAACCCATCAAAAGCCGTGTGGCAAATCATTGACCAGCATAGAGGATCCAGTAAGAAGTGCGATCAAAAATGTGATATAACAGCGGATACATTTAACACCTACTTTACCAATATTGCTCAGGATATAGTAGAATTAATACCACCATCTCAGATTGATCCTCTTGAGTTCGTGCATGATTTTGCTGTCAGTGACACCCCATTCTTTTTCTCTGGCGTATCACCTGTTGAGATCAGAGATGTTATTGATGGCCTGAAAAATAAGCATAGCTCTGATGTGTTTGGATTAAATGTAAAGCTCATCAAGTCGGTCAAAAACCAACTAATAGGTCCTCTAAACTTATTAATCAGAGTTTCAGAGAAAACACTTTTCCAGATGCACTGAAGATTGCCCAAATAACGCCTGTTTTTAAAAAAGGCAACCCTGAAGATCCTGGTAATTATAGACCCATCTCTCTACTGTCTATCATCTTAAAGATCTTTGAGAAGTGTATTGCTTCCAGGTTAACGCATTTCATCGAGAGCAATAATCTCTTTACACCGTGTCAGTTTGGCTTCAGAAAAAATAGGAATACGGTTCTTGGTATCCTGGACCTTGTGTCTTGTGTTCGGGAGTCTTTTGATAGTCTTGACTTTACAGGGGCCTTATTTTGCGATCTGAGTAAGGCATTCGATTGTGTACCACATGACATACTGTTACAGAAGCTTGAAAGGTACAATTTTAGTCTGGATAGTATTAATTTCATGCGTTCCTATCTTACTTCTAGAGTTCAGGTTGTGAGGGTCGGTGGGGAGTCACCAGCGATGAGTCATGTTAATATTGGAGTGCCCCAGGGCTCAGTACTCGGACCAATTCTATTTTTGATATATATCAACGACTTACCATATATAGACTAAACATCTAAATTTACACTTTTCGCTGATGACACAACAGTGGCCTTCTCATCTGACTCATTGGAGGGTGCCATGGAGGGGAGTGAGGTAGTGCGCGGCCATGTTGAGGCATGGTTTTGTGCCAATAGGTTGCTCCTGAATCCTGACAAAACCAATAGGATGG